TTTTAGTTCGGTAATTTTTCCTTTGATGCTAACAGCTTCAAACCTTTTTTTCACTCATGTGCATAAGTTTTTGGTGTCATCGTATCGAATCCCCATCACCATTAGAATTGACCACTACTACCGTATCCCTTGTTAGAATAGTTGTGTAAAAAGTCCTAACCTTATTGTCTAGTGTTAAACCACATTCCACTTCGTTATCTTCTATGATCCACTCCCAAATATTATTGTGTATCCAACATCATCAAGTTTACTCATAAAAATCATATTTTTTCCAAAACTTGGAATATGTCTAACATTCTATAGTTTTCATTGCATTTTGTTAGTAGTTTTGATATTAACCTCACATTTTTTCATAATGTCTAGAGGTTAATTATCGATAAGATAAAACTTCCTAAAATTTATTACAACCTATTTTTGTGGAGTAGAATGAAATAATGCACCTAAATCTAGAATCCAAGACTCAATGGGACTTCCACACTATAAATTAAGCATCTATAATTTTATCAGTCATTGCATATGCAAAGTCACAATCCCGATTTTTTTCTTCTTCGAAGCCTTACATTGATTTTTAAAGTGCCCCTTCTTATCGTAGTTTCAACGAGTTGATCTCTTTATGATTTTTGGATTTCGCTCTCGCCCTTTGATTTTGACCTTGCTAAAAGTCTCTTTCTCTACTATGAGTACTTAAAGCAGAACCTAAATGTTCTTTTGACTCACTCCTATGAAGATCTTCATTAACCATTAAATCTCGGACATCATCCAATTTTAGTTTCTCGTTTCCCGATGAGCTATTTACTCGTTGTTACCATTACAAACTAGCTATTAGGTAGAGAAGATATCAAAATTAGTATCTTAACTTCATCGTCAAACATGATGTTTATCGACTCTAATTGATCGATCAACACATTAATTTGATTGATGTAATTATTCACGGATGCATCCTCTCGCCATTTTCGGATTGAATAATCCATCAAAAGTACCTTGTTTCGGGAAGATGACTTCTCATACATATTTGATAGTGCCATCATCAAATCTCGTTGCTTTATTTTTTTCACGATATTAAAGGCAATGTTTCACGTCAATGTCAACTCGAATAACACCCAAAGCCTAGCGATCCAACAAAACCTAATTAGCCTCTTTCATCCCCTCTAACTTTTTCCGGATAAGGGTTCATGTAGCTTCTTCTATTATAGATAATATTCAATCTGCATCTTTTAGAATTTAAAGCCTTTATCATCAAACTTGTCAATCCCGACTTTTCCTTCTTCTACCATCGTTCCTCCTTACCCCGTGAACCTAGAGCTCTTATATTAGTTGTCGTGAAATAAATCAAGCAAGAAAAATAGAGTAGAAAGACAAGAACAATCATACAACATAAAAATTTATGAGGTTCGATAATTGTGCTTATTCCACGGTTACACTCGCGATTTCTTATTAGATTTTATCAAATGGCGGCTTATAAATATAAATGATGTTGTCTTTATTTATAGTGTGGATAACTAGGATTATAATAAACGGACCTAACAAGCTCGTATACCATTGTGTGCGGAGCTCCTTATACCGAGCTCTTATCCACATTAGTCTTCATAACTTAACAATATATATATATATATGGAATGGTTTTTTTTTTTTTTCCCCGAGGATCTATAATTCAACATTCATTAGCACTATTCACTAGACATTGTTACATTTTTTTTACTAGGCCAGAAACGATGTTATTTTGGACTGAAATGGCGCTCTTTTCTCAAAAAACTTTGGTGTTTTTTAGAAAAAAATTAATTTTTTGGTCCTTGATGTTTGAGGTTTATATGAACTGGTTCCTAAACTTTATTGGTAATTATTTCGCTCTCCAAACAGTCAGAAAAAATAGATCAAGGTCCAAAATTTTTTGGTCTTTGTGATTGAGGTAAAAAGTAGCTGGGAAATTGGGTTTGGGTGGTCAAAACCAATAGCCCTCCAATTTTTCGACGATGGCACGTTAATCCTCGTGGATGACCTCTTGTGTAGCCCAATTTTCTTTCTTTCTTTTTTTTTTTTTAAAAAAATCAGCACTACAAAGAGATAAATATATGAAAAAAATTGGACTAAATAACAAAGATTTATTAATTAATAGTTTATAAATTTTTATGTATTGTTTTTTTTTTCTTTTCAAGGATGTAATTTTGAATATATCATATATGATTTAAGTTTTCTAAAGGCTTACATAAATAAAAAGTAGTTCGTGGATAAAAAATATTTAAATTAATTCAATATCATGCATGAAAAACTAATAATAAAACCATCTTTTGCGCATGATAAATTTTAATAGATTCTCTAATTTTGATTGGGTTTTGTCCATGTATAGCCCATATGTTATTCAAATTGTTTTTATTGAAGCCATATATTATTTTTTGTATTGATTGAGTCTCTCTACTATATATATATATATATATAATACAAGATTTTAATCAAAATAATTTAAAAAATACATTAATCAAATTATTATTCTTTTCTTATTTAATTTTCAAGTTACTATTTTTAAAATCTCAGTTTGAATGTTGCAATATGAGTTATATATGAGACCTCATCGTAACAAAGTTGTGAAAAGTGTTTTTTAGAAAAGTTGAATACATTAAAAAAAACCTAACACGCAATTAAAAAAAAACATATAAATATATTTTCAAAATAAAAATAAAAATAATACTAATGTTGACTAATATATAATTATCTATATGAAATAACAGAATGTAGCGTAGTTCCTAGTATTTTTTTATGAAGCAACCCTATTTTTCATTTCAAATTAGTCAAATATTAAAAAAAAATTATTTTTTGTAAGGGATTAGATCCATTAACTAGGGATTTTTGACAGATTGATATTGTACGTAAACGCATTTTTATTTTAATAATTACATGCCAGGTTTATTTTTTTACATATTATTTTTTTAACTTATTATAACAATTTTTTTTTCTTAATGCAAACACAAACTAACTTTTCTTCAAGGAAAATATTTTTTAGAAAAATTTTGTGTTGAAAATCAAGTAATAAGAAAGTTTTTTTTTTTTTAAGATATACTTTTTATATTATTGTTTTCAATTACGTTGTACCCAACTGTTATTTTCTCTAACACGAAAAAAATATGGAGGATATCGTTTTTAAATTACGTTTTATCCTATTAGTTGAATTGAAAGCATAATTCAATTTGCCACGAAAAACATAAATACATAATCAAGAGGAAAGGGTCCTGCAATTATTTATTTATTTATTTAAAGGAGAATGTTAAAATATACATGCAGGATGTGTTTGAAGTGTACATGTGTGTAAAATGCATGAGATGCATTACGGGAGGAATAAAACGGAGTGAGTTGTAACTAACCTTGCACAGCAGGTATTTGTTACAATGACTGTATCACGCATACCTGAAGATTGCAACAGTTGCTATTTGTCGATTGATCCAAGAAGCTGGGAGAATGATTGCACCTCTGGACCTACAGTGGCACACAAGAAATAGCAAAGTTAGGAAGTTAGTTTTTCAATTTTTCATTATAAAACTCTATAATGTACTTTGTAATTTTTCTGAATATAATCTATAAAGTTGTTTATTAAAATATATTTTGTTTAACAAAATTATAAAAAAAACATGTATAAATACAAGAGAAGTTTATCAGAAAAAATATAAAGAAAACAGCATTTTCAGAATATCTGTGATTTAATTCTGCAAATGTTAATCCTGTTAGTGTTAGAATCATTGCAAGAGAACCTCGAAAACAAATGCCAAAGGTGACCAAGTCCAATTATAGATTATGGATGTGATCACTTTCTCGATTTTTAAAATGAATTATATTCTAAATTTTTAGGGTTAATTTTTTCCATGCTACATGGTCCACACTATCATTTATAGTTAAGAGACACTTGAGGCAATTCATTAAGGTACACAAATTTAAATAATAGATATAATTGTAAGAATAATCACAATGGTAATTGCTCGTAATTACATATTACAGCTTATTTTGATAGTAAATTAACGATCATAACAATCAATATAGTGAAAATATTAATAACTATTAATAAATTTATTCTGATTTATATATTTTTAATAGTGTTACTAATTGAATATAATAAGAACAACATTTTTAATATTAGACAATAATAACTGAATTTATCATGAGAAAAAATTAATCACACTTATAATAATTTAATATTATATAAAAAATAATAAAATATATTATAATTTTAAAATTTTTTATTTTTTTAAATATAATGTTGTTATTTAATAAATAATAACATTATAAAATAATAATGTTATTATTTATTGTTACTTATATGTTACGTCAAATAACACCAATACGAATAATAATAATAATAATAAATAAATAAATGTATGCCGAACGTCCGTAGTAAGAAAATCAAATCATGTTAAATAAGGCTTGTTACGTAAGTGCCGCTGTTTGAAATTATGTTAAAGCGACGTGGACCTTGTATTTATAATGTCGAAGTGAATAAAATAAAATTTGTTCGACATGCCACGCTGCACTAGAAACCGAAGGAATTTTCAAGACCAGAAATGAGTAGATGGACTTTGACGTGACTCTTCTGTTTTACAAGTCACATAAACATTATATTATCATGGAAATTATCTATTTATTTCTTCTTTTTATGTGAAAAAGTGAAGTACAACAGTTCAAAGCAGTGAAGCACCCAATGATTCTTCTTTGGAAACCAGAGGAGTGACAAGAAAATCAGTTAATTTGAGTTCAAAATGCAAATACAAAAACTGATTTTATACAAAGAGTATAACTTGACTATTTCTTTTTTTTTTTGGTCTTTCTTAACACGAAAGTCGAAAAAGCTTCCTATCAAAGGAATCTAATGGGGTCAATTGACTTTACCATGGTATTAGATCACTCCTCCTCCGTACTTGCCGGTACTGTTTTTAAAACTTCTCGACAATCCAAAGATCACAAACCTAGGAAAGAAGACATCAAGAAAAATTGCTGCTTTTTGAGTTAGATCGGTAATGAGAATGGAGGAAGGCATGCTTCTGATTGATGGAAATGGCAAGTTCAACGTGGAAGGGCTTAAAGACTTCATGACAACCACTGGCTTTGCCCAGTGTGGTCTCTCCTATGCTATTGTTGCTATCATTGGTTCGCAGAGTAGCGGTGTGTTTGTGTTCTCTCAGTTCTTACTTCTAACTGAGTAGTGATCCTTTGTTTATGTTTATGTGAAGTTGATTAAATTCTACTAGTTACTTTTTGTTATGTGAAGTTGATTAGAAATGATCTCTCTTGAAACATCATAGCAAAATGATGGTTGGGTTTAGTTTTTGCAAAATTGAACTGGTTGGACTCCTGACTGTTTTTTTGCAAAATTATGGCTTTTGGGTCTTTAGGTCTATTGCTGCACGATAACATCTATGATCGAACATGTCCCTTGAATTTTTTTTTTTTTTTTTTTTTTTTTTGAGGTACATTTGATGTTGACAATAAGCAGAGTTAGAGCCTGAAATCTGTTGCACGCACACATATGATTTGATTCGCGTTCTTTGTGAACAGGGAAGAGCACCCTGATGAATCATGTCTTCGGTACCAATTTCAAGATGCTGGATGCATACAAAGGAAGGTTTGATATTTTTGGGTTTTTTCAATTTATAGTTTTAGAATGGTGAATTTTTGTATTTTTAATTCTCTGTTGCTATGTATACATGAAGACAATCTTATTATATATGTTTCAGAGGTCAAACAACTAAGGGCATTTGGATTGCTAAAAGTAATAATATTGAGCCTTTCACAATTGCCATGGATTTTGAGGGAACCGACAGCAATGCAAGAGGCGAGGTACTTGGGAGCTTTGTATTGGTACTCTTATTGTAGCTTAGCTTTGATGATAGTGGCTTGTTACATTCGGTGTTTGATAACTATCTTTTTTTGTTTATGAGAAATGAACAGATCTTTCTTATGCTTTTGAGCTAGTCTATTCTATTTCTAAACTTTTAATTGCATCAACTGTGTCGTTAAACTTAGTGAAATCTGCAATAAAGCCCTTTGTTGTTGAAATTTGTTTAAGTTAACGGATGGGAGCCAACCCATGTTTTTTCTTTTAAATGGCTCTGTAGTTTCACATCTCACCATCTCAAATCATGTGTGCAATGCTAACAGAAGGATCTAATGGAAATTTACTGTCGTTATAATTTATTAATGTCTCTATGTTTTGATGGTTGCATTTCATTCTTTTCAACTCCTGTGATATTCGAAACTGAGTTGCAATCTCCAAAATTTTGTAATTTTTTTGTAATGCTGAGGCAAAACATTACTGAATGGTCTCAATTCCTTTGGGTTTTATTACTGTATGGTTTCAAGCTGTGAATGCGATGCTTATATTAGGCCAGATGAATTTAATAAGAATTTTTTTGTGAATTTATTGAACTCATACCATGCAAAGTTTTGGCATTACTTGTAATCTGGGATATGTGCTGTTTCAGGACAACGCTGCATTCGAGAGACAAAGTACCCTGTTTGCTTTGGCAATTGCTGACATTATATTGATAAACATGTGAGTTAGATTCCTTTTCTGCCAGACATATTTGATTAATGTTCACACCTGGGAATAGTCAGGGGTGGCCATGTCTGGCTTAGCCTAGACAATCATTGCCCCTTATACATGCAGTCTAACTATTTTATATTATTTGCATATTTTATACATTAATAGTTATTGATTTACTGGCATAGCCCTATGTCTAACAAAAAAAAAAAAAAAACTATTGTTGTAGCCTTCCGTGATTTGGAGGTTCACATGGCGGTCCCATTGCCTTTTTGTGGCTTGAAATAATTTCTTTAGGCATTCTTGGCTAATTGCGTATTTGTATGATTCAATCAAATTATCCAACAGGGTTATGGTCTGTTAAACATATTTCTGTTTCTTGTTTGATTTCCGAATGGCGTGGAAAATACATCTGATTTTGTTACAAGATAATCAGATGAAGATTGCGCATATATTTCAACTTATCAACAGGTTGTCTGTCCAGCCAAGAAAAAAGGCAAAAAAAGATAGCTGTTTCCATATTTTGAACTTTGTGGATAATGTTTGTCCTTCATGTTGGATATATTATGGCTTAACACAAATAAGACACCTTCTAAATTGTCAGTGTAGAATTTAGAGCTTTCAAATGGGGACATGAAGCAAAAGTTTTTTAAGATAAGACATGCCCTCTCATGTGTGCACGCAGGTATATTAGTAAGATTCAACTAATCTTTATGTCAAATATCATATACAGGTGGTCCAAAGACATCGGTCTGGAACATGCAGCCAACAGACCTCTTTTGAAAATAGTTTTCCAGGTACTTCACGGTGAAAAGCATTCTGCATCAATGATTGGCATAAAGTTAATACATCATAAATCAATGCCTTTGAAAGTCTTGTTTGGATTTAGTTTCTGTTGATTTGTTAGCTGTTTTTTCTCAACCTTGAAGTATTTATGATGCAAGTATTGAGCTGTACAAACATACCACTAGAAGAAGCTAAAAACCGATTCAGATACGTCAGTTTATAAGGGCTATATATCTATATAGAGGAATATGTAGTCACACAGGCATGAATACTGACAACCTTTTCCATATCCAGTTTTATGCCAATATCTCACGCATGAATAAAGAGTCTCCTCTTCCATATTCATTATTAACGTGCTACATTTTATAATAACTGTCTAGCTGCATTCATTAAGCCCTGTGTGTGATATATCGCACCCAACATTATTTAGAAGCAAAGGCAACACTCCAACCATTGGCTATGGTGAACATGCCACATCTTGTGTTCATATATTATATGTGAGAAACTATTGTCTGTCTTGTATTCAGGTCATGAAGCGTTTATTCAAGCCCCGTAAAAGAACATTGCTGTTTGTTATACGTGATCACACAAAGGTATGGAATTTTTTCCCTTTAAAGAAGAAACCAAGCACCTTGTGTTCTGTTCTCTGAATGCATCTTTTTATCCAATAATGAATCTATGCCTCCTTTCTGAGTGTCTATGTAGACTCCACTTGGATATTTGGAGCGTGTTCTCAGGGAAGATATAGAGAAGGTACTTTTGTGCATATTACTTGTACTCTGTTTATGCCTTTCTCTGTCCGGGTCAATTGTTTGTTTCTTCCAGCATTTTCAGAAGTCATTATTTCTGCAGATATGGGCTGCAGTTGCTGAACCTGAGACTCCTGGAAGTGCTTCTCTCAGTGATTTTTTTAATGTACATAAGATATCATCTCCATCTCCTGTATTCATCCCATTGGCATGTATGCTTCATATGTGCTATTTTGTTTAATTGGCATATAACTTAATTTGCTTCTAATAATTGACATGAAGGTGGAGATCACTGCTTTGTCTAGCTATGAATTCGAAGAGGAGAAGTTTAAAGAGCAGGTAGCCTTTACACTAAGAATATCAATTTATGAATCCTCAAACTTAAGTTCATCATTTGTGTTCTTCTGGAGTTTGCTTTGGCAATTTTTCTAGAATTAAAGTGGTGGGTGATTTCTAGCATGTGTATGTTCTGCAAATGATTTGGAAGTGAAAATCAGTGGTGTATTAGATTTAGAAAGAGAAACTATGAAGTTTAAGAGAGATTGTGTTAGCAGCTAAGGAGAACAGGTTCAGTTGGGACTGACTGGCCTGCTTCAAGTTCGCTGATCCATCTCTTTAATTCATCTTGTTAATTTAGAAGTTAATTGCAAATTCTGTAACTAATCAATAAAAACTTTTATGCACATTAGACTTGATATCAAACTACTTGATCTCTGCATACTGCACATGTTGTGCTTTGACTGTTGTGGTAACCCAATCCATGCAAAATGAAGTAATATAGTGTTTTATAGATATTAGAAGCGTATCACATGGAGATGACAAAATGACCATTAAGTCATATTACCAGTAAGATAAATACATGCCTCAAATGAGGACTCAAGAATCTATAATCCTTAACTGCATTTTTTTTTACTGCAGTGACTTACAAAAATTGGTATTACAGGCTTGTAGCCCATTATGATATTTTGTACAGGTTGCTTATCTAAGGCAGCGGTTCATTTCTCCAAGAGTTACTGGTGATTGGTGGGAAGTTGAACCTGCTTCAGGATTTTTGATTCGTGCAGAGAATATATGGAAAACCATAAAAGATAACAAGGATCTAGATCTCCCTGCTCTTAAGGTTTATAAAAGCCTGTTTCTTGTGCAAATATAATAGTCAGGGTTTCAAGTGAATATATTTCTCCATTTTGTTTTTTCAGGTGATGGTTGCTGTTGTTCGTTGTGAAGAGATTGCTGAGGAGAAGCTCAAGCAATTTACTTCTGATAATGTACTTAATTGAATCTAACTTCTCATTTTTACTTTCTTCCTTTGATAGTTACTTCAACTTCTGAATATCAGACAATACTAAATTAATTCCTTACAGGATTGGTTGGCACTGAAGGAAGCTGTTCAAGCTGGTCCTGTATCTGGGTTTGGAGCAACCCTCAGTTCTATATTGGAAACCTATCTTTCACAGTAAGTGGTGTCAGTTCTCTATGATGACGTGTTACCTTATCTTGTAAGATATGTTTGGTATTCAATGTTCTGCCGAGGTTCAAAGTTCTATTGTTCAATTTTCATCCAAATTCTCTGTGGTATTCTACTTGATTATCTAATTTGTCAGCATTATTTGCCAACAGTCTTGTAGTGTGCTTCTTGTTCAACTTGATTCAGAATCTCTGACTTTGTATGTATATTTTTTTAATAGGTATGACAAGGAGGTGATATATTTTGATAAAGATGTACGAAATGCAAAACGGCACCAAATGGAGTCCCAAGCATTGGAGGTATGGCCTAAGTGTGTATATTTCCTCTTTTTTTTATTTCTTAACCTCTCTTCTCCGTTAGGAAAAGTTTCTCATTTGATGTTGGATATATGGTTTTAGTGATGTGAACTTGGTTTTTGTTTCTTTTGCTTCTGAAAATAGGTGGCTACCCTCATAGTATTTTCATTTGTAGATTTTCCTTGCTTCTCTCTCTCTCTCTCTCTCTCTCTCTCTCTCTCTCTCTCTATATATATATATATATATATATATATATATAGACACACACACACACACACCATCAACTTCAAATATGTCAAAATATATTATGTATGTGACTACCCTCTAGAAAAGCTAGTATCTTTAAAAACGATTACACTTCAAGACAACTTTGTTGGATAGGATACTTTTCCTTTCCTCTTTGTTGTCATCCGCTGGGTGCTTGTACAGGGAGTTACCTCAGATGAGATTCAACAGTGAATCCTTTTACGATTTTCTTTTTCCTTTGGTGGATATCTTATTCTCCATATTCTTTTGTACTTTCTTCTAGTGATTTGATACAATTTTCTCTTGTCCAAAAATTAAATATTTGTAGGTGGTACACGATGCTTATGTTACGATGTTGGAACATTTGTATTCCAACAAACTTGAAAGTTTTAAAAATAGGCTGGAACAGTACTTACTGAACAAAGGAGAAGGATCTGTTGCTTCTGCTTGTATCTGTGTTCAATCTTGCTTGCTTGAATTTGATCAAGGATGTGAAGGTATGTAGACTCCAATTAGTAAAAAGATTTTTTTTTATTCTTACCTTCAATATTTTCTAATCCAATTTCATCTCCAATGGATAAAACCAACTGTTTGTTTTGGACTCCACAATTTCTTTAAGTGACTCTTTTATTTACCTTTTTTTTTTAATGAAAGATTTTCTTGATCTTCTTAATATTTTAAATCTTCAATATGGTCTGAATTCTAAATATCTTTTTCAACTAGTAAATAGAGAACAAACAGACTTTTATTGTGATAGTACAAGCAAATAGAGAATAAACAGACTTTTCTTGTGATAGTATAGGAATCATAAGACAGAAGGATCATCTCTGTGGAACTAATCTGAATTGGGTGGCATTGCTGCTTGTATGATTTTGGTTAGGGTCTTTCCAACCAGTCCTCTCTATTCAACCTATCCTAACTGTCAAGCTAAACAACTTAACTGCTGAATACAATCTATATGTGTGTGTTTTTCTAGAATATTTCTTAAAAGTGGAAAAATGGTAGCATGCACCACCACCCTCATTTAAACGTAGAGAAAACCTCTATCACGAGAAACTACAATGGGATTTAGGTGGTCAACATTGTCAGGATGTGTTCTTCCACCTCCTCTTCCAGTGAACCAGCTTGCACTCTGCACTTGAGAGAATCTCAAGTCATTACAGGTCTCACAGCAACAGATTAATGCTAGCAAATTGAATACTTCATCCAAGAAATTCTTTGGCTGCGATAAACAGAAGAAAAAAGTAATTTAATGGGCAAAGTAAAGGGCATCACTGCAACTTATTTAAGCTGTTGCTACTAGAACTCATCCCTCTATGATGTTAAAATTTTTTGCATATGGTTGGTACACTTCAAGATCTGCTAATTCTGTTTCCTGGATTTGGTGAGTTACCTTTATCATGCTTTCTCAGATGCTGCCATTAAACAGAGTGAGTGGAATGCTTCGAAACTCCGGGAAAAACTTTGTCGTGATATGCTGTCAGAAATGATGGCAAAATTTGAGGTAATTTCCTCGGTTGATATTAACAATCCATTAGTGTTCTTAAAAGTAAATGTATCACTATATTCAATCAAATAACCAAATATTGTTGTGTTATTCCTATGCAGAAGCACCTTACTGATGTGCTTGCTGGTAAAGCACGATCCTTATTTGAAGCTGGTGAAACAGATACATGGGGATTAGTTAGAAATCTTCTTAAGAGCAAGACTGATGTTGCTGTGTCGGAGTTTTCAGATGCTGTTGTTAGTTTCAAGTTGCAAAGATCTGCAATTGACACTAAATTGCAACATTTAAGGGAGTATGCAAGAAATGTAGTGGAGAGAAAGGCAAGGGAAGCGGCAGCTGCAGAGAGAGTTTTGATGCGCATGAAGGCTAGGTGGATTGCTATCTTAATTATTGTTTTTGTTTCTCCTTTCAATTGTTTTCTTTTTCCTCTTTTCTTTTTCTTCCTTAAAGCTTTAGATCGTATCCCAGGTTCACACAAGCTTTCAATCGTGATGAAAACTCAAAGTCAAGGGTTTGGACTAGGGAAGAGAACATTGATGAAATTGAAAGGAATGCGCTCTCTGCGGTAATATGCCTACATTTTGTACTGATTGACTGCTAGCATTTTGAATTGTTTCTACTTTTGAGAAATATGCATCTAAATGTTTCCCAGTTAATTTTTTGCAGTCTTTGGAAATTTTATCAATCATGGCAGCCATACGCTTAGATAACATGACAGATCAGATTAACCATGTACTCTTTTCCTCTCTCATGGATGGAACTGGTGCTGTTCCATCATCCCAAAATACAGGAGCTACTGCTGACCCCCTTGATTCTTACACATGGGAAGAGGTAATAGTTTGTTCATATTGGTGTGTACAACTCACTATATATATATTCAAAATATGCACACAAACAGATACATGTGTCTATCAAACTGGTTTCTGATAAGAATCAAATATGAGGCAGGTTTCTGCAAATGCTACGCTGATTACACCAGTGGAGTGCAAGTCATTGTGGATGCAATTCAAAGCAGATATAAATTATATAACCAAGCAGGCTAGAGCCGCCCAGGTACCTTATTATATATTGCTTTATATTTTTATATTGCCCTTGTTTGTTAGAATATTTTCAGTTTATGCCAATAAGTTTCCGATGCTTTCTAAACTTAGGAACATAAACTATATCTATTTGGCATACACCTGCACAGTTTTTTACAAGTTTATAACAGGGTTTATGTGACAGTTGAAGTTTCTCATGTCTTGGAATCTGACTAGCACTCTTGCATGTCATACTTGTGTTTTCCTCAGGAGGGTCTTAGGCATGCTAAAAGGGCAATTAAGATAGTGGTTGGGGTAGTGGCGGTAGTGGGGGCAGCTGTGGTAACGACAGTGGGGACACCTACAGTCATGGGGATAGCAGCAAGGCCGGAGGTGGCAGCAGTGCTGAAAGCTGTAGGACCAGAGTTGGCAGCTGTGATGAAAGATATAGGACCGGAGGTCTTGGCAACTCTGAAAGATGTAGGGCCAGAGGTGGCTGCGGCGGTGAGATCTTTAGGACCGCCACTAGTGGCAGGGGTAATTGGGCTGATGACGAAGGGGTTGGCAAGGCCCCAGGAGCAATAGGCGTGCATTTCTTAGGTAAAAGACAAACCACGCTTTGCATGGTTGATGTTTGTACCTCATCTTAATATTGCAGCATGCTATGGTGAATCTTCTAAAAGAAATCTATCATTTGATTAGCCCCATTGAATTTTATTTTTTATTCTTTCTTCTTTTTTGATGGCTAACATGAATCAACAATATATGGAAGATGATAAAACAGGTGCGTTGCTTTGAATAATAGAAGCAATGGAGCTAGGAAAAACCTCCTTCAAAATACTTTCAAAAGCAATAAGTCTAGCTAAGTTGGCAAGAGCGTGTATTGCTTTGTTATTGTTGCTTCGAGTAAATGTTCAATCCCAAAAAAGAGAAATAAGGTTGGGGCAAAGAATATCTGCAGTTAGCAGAGATTCGTACCTGTCATCAGCAATGCCTTAGGAAATGACCTATTGGAGATGTGGCCAATCCTTTTAAGAGCAGAAATCATAACCTCCCTATGAATTTCAAATCATAACATCCCTCGCCAAATTTCGACAGTGTTAGCCTCATTATTAATAAATAAATAAATAAGGGACGGTTTTTTAACTGAGGATATTGTAGTGCAAGATTTATTGGCACTATTCACGAGGCATTGTTATATATTTTTTACCGGATCCGAACGGCGTTATTTTGGATTGAAGTTGCACTCTTTTATAAAAAAATTTAGGCTATTTGTTGAAAATATATATTTTCTTCGGTCCTTGATGTTTGAGGTTTATATGATCTGGCTCCTAAACTTATTTCACTTACATTTTGGTCCTTTGATGTAGAAGGAGGAGAGATAATGGGAGTTAGAGAAGGGAAGAGAAGCAAAACTTTGATTGGCTTTATTTTGGCTATGATCTCCTTCGATCTTAAAGTCTATTTGTAAGTTTTGGCAAGAGAACTTTATTGGCATTTTTTCGCTCTCCAAAAAGTTAAAAAAAAAAAAGAAAAGATAAAGAAAAATAGAGTAGGTTCCATAATTGGGGTTTTGAAATTTATTTGTTTTTTAGAGTTGTTGGAGTGAACAAAAATTATTATTATTATTATTATTTTTTTTTTTTTTTTTTTTTTTTTAGAGGTTAAAAAATGGTTTCTACATATTGCGATTGTAGCTTTGAAGTGTTTTGAGGTAAAAATAGTTGAGAATTTGGGTTTCGATGGTCAAAACCAGTAGCCCTTTGATTTTTCGGAAATTGTAGAGGGGACAGCATGTCAATCCTAGTGGATGACGTCTCGTTCACCTTTTTTTTTTAATAACTGGTTTGCATGCAGGCATGGCGTGCATTTTGGCCTGACTTTCTTTATTTTTTTCTTTAAAAAAAAAAAAAAAAAAAAAAAAAAAAAAAAAATCAGCACCACTAAGAGATAAAAATTCAAAAGAAAATGGAGATAAAAATTTGAAAGAAAATGGTCTTAATAACAAGAATTTAGTAATTAATAGTTTATCAACTTTTATGTATTTTTTTTCTTTTTAAGGATGTAATTTTGAATATATAATTTATGATTTAAGTTTTCTAAACTACATATATAGAAAGTAGCGCTTATATATATATATAAAGTCAATATCATGCATGTATAATAAAACTATCTTTCGTGCGTGATAATTTCTAATAGCTTTCTCCAATTTTGATTGGATTTTGCCTCTATATGTCAATGTATTATTCAAATTGTTTTTATCAAAACCATGTAATATTTTTATTTTTTAAATTGATCGAGTCTCTCCATTCTTTATTTTGTTTTTGTTATTGTCCTTATGTTATAATAATATTAGTTTGTGAACTGACATAATATGTAATATTTTTTAATATATTACACGTGTTAATGTGAGATCCCAATAGAGGGACATAATTAATACAAAAAAAAAAAAAGAGGTTTCAATAAAAAAATATTTAGAAACAAATAGGACCAAATTATTATTATTTCAATTTTAATTTCCATCTTATTATTTTTTAAAACCTCAGCTTGAATGTCACAAAATGTGTTAAAAATTGTGAAATATATATCATTATTATAATAATTTAAATATACATAAAATACATTAAAAAAATATAACATGCAATTAAAAAATAAAATTCAAAAATGTTTATCAAAATAAAAATAACAGTAATATTGACTAATATCAAATTATCTATATCAAATAATAGAATGTAGAGCAATTTCATTGTTTTTTTTTTTAGGAAGCAACCCTACTTTCCATTTCTAATTGGTTAAATATTCAAAAAAAATTTACTCTTGTTGTAGAGGATTAGACCCATTAAGTAAGGATCTTTGACAGATCGATATTGTATACCACCTGTTAACTAAGAAAATTTTTTTTAGAAAATTTTTTTGTTGAAAATCAAATGGACATATAAAGTCGTAAGAAGGTTTTTTTTTTTTTTTTTTTTAAAGATAAACTTTTTATCTTATTGTTTTCTATCTAAATTATAGATTCTCAAAGAGAAGATAATTACTAAAAGTTTATCTCTTCATTATTGTAAGTTTAATTTAACTTCATTATTAATCTATTTTGATGATAAAAAGATTGGAAAAATATCTTTTAAATAAAGGATAGTTTTTTTTTTTTACACTCTTATATAATGCAATAAATTATTTCTCCTAGGAATTTTTCTTTTCTCTTATTTAATTAAGAATTTATACGTAACTTGGTGAAGCTATATAGTATTTGTACATACATCATGCAAAGAATATACTATAAAACCCAAATTCAATCCAATGTTTAATCCCTTTCTAGAGAAAAGTTTTATTAATTTATGTAATATTTGAAATGATTATTTATTATATAAATTTAAGTATAGTTGTTAAAAAGTATCATTCTATTGTCATATTAAGAGGAAGTGTATTTTTGTCATTAGAAAAAATATTAAAATAATATAAGGCACATTAATTTTACAATTGCTTTACACTTTATGGTAATTGATGTTTTAGTCTAGTTAACAACAAATAATGTACTTTTGAAATGTTTGATATTTTATAGATTCTTTTATTAAAGAATTCAAAAATGATGTTTTACTATTTAGAGATATTATGAAAATTTAATTTAGAGGGGTTTTGATGGGGTAAATTCATTGTATATAGTCCTCAAGTTTTTGAACATGCCAATCCCAACTTTGAATCTACGAACACGTGTGGTCTCTTCCTCCGATTAGATCTGTACATTTGGCCACATGTTAAGGAATGTTGTAAAAAAAACTATATAGTCCTCAAGTTGATTATGCTTTGGGAAGATATAAATCACCCAAAGACGTCCTTTCTTAAGAAAGGTACCATGTCTTGTTTAGTCCTAAATTCATCTCCTAAAGTATTTTATTTGTGTCAAATTATTTTTTGTTTTAAAGCTTTAATTTTCCAAGTAAAAAAAATTTTTTTTTTTAAATTTTTTGAGCATGGCATCGTCTTGAAATGATCTTCGAACCCCTTCGTCGAGAGACACGTCGATTCAAACATCGGATCCACTTTTTGATCCTTGACATAACCGACGTGTCGAAGAACATCTTAGTTATCGAGAGAGGAAAAAAAATTTATTTATTGTTTTTTTGTTGTTAAAAAAAAATCTTCATTAGTCCCTAAAAAATAATAGGAGACTTGACAATTATCTACCTATTGACTACTTAATCTAATTTTAGGCACTTCAAGGAAAACTATCATCGATCCCTAAGAATTTAGGAGATTTGACAATTTCCTCACTTATTAACTATTGATCTAACTTTTAAACGAAATCTTAATAAAAAGAATTAACTATTTTTTATTTATATATTTTTTGATAGAAAAATCATCATCGATCCCTAAAAATTAAGATACTTAATAATTTATCTCTCATTTAGTTATCTAAATTAGTTATGGAAATTAAAATTCTAAAATTAAAATTAACTTAAAAAAAGCAAGAATATATATATATATAATTAAACAAGACATAAACATATATAAATAAAATTCAATATAAATCATCTAAAGTAAAATAAAAACATGAATAAATAAAATAAAACAAACTAGATAACTTTTTTTTTTTATTTTATAGTGGGCCTATTGGAGGTTTGGCCAAAAGGGGGTTGGACAATCTAACCCTTATTATTTTCTCCTTGGGCTAGGTTAGACCCATTATTTCAAACTAAGCCGAACTAAAATTAAATGGGTCAGTATTTCTTTGGGTGAAAAAAAGAGAAGAAAAGAAGCCCACAAACAAGAATTAAATTCTTTTTTGTTTTTGATAAAAAATGTCTACTGCTCTTATCATTCTTTTTTTTTTTTCAACCTGACCAACTAAAATTCATCCACAAAGCAAGCAATTAAGTATCACCCTGCTCCCTTGGTTACTACATTAATTTTCATGCCTTACTAATCAAAACCAAAAACAGCTTGTTATAACTTTTACATATCATACAATGACAGTAACTTTCAACAAATTTAAGACATATTGATATGTCAGAGTAGAAGAAAAGGCTATAGAGTTACCTGTTGAGTCTGCAAGATAATGAGACGTTGAAAACGAAATGAAACATATAGCTAGTTACAGAACCCGAAAATAATGCCTTCTTTTTTTACAGCCTGTTTTCTTTTCTTTTCTTTGTTTCTTACTCCTTTTTTTTTTTTTTACTCTCCCTTTCCCTCCTGTTTCTTATTGCCTCTCTCTTTTTCTTTCTTCGTCGTTATCTCCCTCTTTGTTATGCTCCTTTTCTTTTCTTTCGTGCTCTCCTCTTTCTCTCTCTATATTTCCTCTCAGTCTCCTTTCTTTTCTCTCTTTTTTTTTTTTTTGCTACTATTTATAGGCTTTGAAAGATTATAGAGAGTGGGCATCTGGTAATGGGTGACTTAAAATCGTTGTGGGGAGCTTTGTGTAGAAAATCATGGAGAGTGGAAGTCATGGGTTATTGAAAGGAAGGGACGTTTGTTAGCAAGGTGTTAAAGAGTGGAGGTCGTGGGTTATTAAAGGGAAGGGACGTCTGTCGGCAAGGTGTTAGAGAGTGGAGGTCGTGGGTTATTGAAGGGAAGGTGGTGGAGAG